CCACCATCTGCAGTGCTTGCCGCAGCATCTACGGCGGTTTCGTGAAGTGGGTCAAGGGCGAGAAGGCCGACGGCACCGACTCCATCGCCGTCCAGGTGCGCGCACTTGCCGCTGGCCTGCCGCCGCCGCCGTCTTCTTCGTCGTCGTCGTCGTCGTCTACTCACATTTCTTTATCGCACGCGGGGGCAGGTCGCGCCGGAGACCCACTGGCCGGAGCTGCAGATTTTGGTGTGCGTGGTGAGCGCCAAACACAAGGAGACGCCCTCCACCTCCGGCATGCAGAGTACGCCCACGCTACCCCCCCCCTCCCCCATCCAAACCACTCCCTGTTGTGCGCCTTTATGCGTCGCATCGTGTGCGGCGGCGCGTGCGTGTGCGGTGGTGTGTGCGTGTGCGGTGGTCGCGTGTGCAAAAACTCAAATTTATTTTTTTCTTTGCTTTGCAGCTTCGACGGAGACCAGCCCGTTCCTCGCCGTACGTCGCTCTCTCGCCGCGGTGGCGCTCAATCAAAGCACGTTCAACGCCTGTGGCTGACCCTTCACTCGTCTTCCCCCTCTCTCCCTCCCTCCCCCCCATTGCACGATGCAGTACCGGGCGGCGCACATCGTCGAGGAGCGCATGAAGCAGATGGAGGACGCCATCCACAAGCGCGACTTCCAGCTTTACGGCGAGCTCACCATGCGGGTACCCCCCATTTATTCTTTTTTCTCCTTTTTTACATTAAAAAAACAATAATTTCATTCTTTATACATAAATAATAATTTATTTTATATTTATATATTTATATATTTGTAAATTAATAAGTTAATACATTTATATTGATTATTGTTTTATGATTGCAGGACAGCAACTCGTTCCACTCGACCTGCCTCGACACCTATCCGCCGATCTTCTACCTCAACGACACCTCCAAGACCATCATCAACCTGATCACGTGCAAATGCCAACCCTGCACGCACACGTGTCGTGTCGTGTCATTGAACGTGTGTCGTGCCATTTGGCCGTGTGCGGTGGTGCGTGTGTGTGGGTGTGCGTGTGCGGTGGAATGTGAAGGTATGTGAACAAGCACTACGGCAAGATCAAGATCGCCTACACCTTCGACGCCGGTCCCAACGCGGTGCTCTACGCCCTGAAGGAGGACACCCCGCTGCTGCTGCACCTCATCACCCGCTACTTCCCGCCCTCGTCCGACCTCGCCCAGTACCGCCGCCTGCCCCGCTCCTCGCACCCTCGCGCTCGCTCGCTGACCCGTGCGTGTCGTGTCGTGTCGTGTCGTGCGTGTCGTGCCATGCGTGCGTATGCGTAGCTTCGTTGAGGGAAGCGGGCCGAAGGAGTGCGGCGTGGAGTCGATCGAGTCGCTCGGCGCGCAGCTCAAGGCCAAGGACGCCTCGGTCGAGGCTCTCCTCCAGGAGCTCGACGCCAAGTTTACGCCCCAGCCGGCCTCCATCCAGCGCGTCATCCATACCACCGTACGTCATGTCGTGTGTCGTGCGTGTGTGTGCCATGTCGTGTGCCGTGCGTGTCGTGTCACTCACAAGACGATCGTCGGTGAACAGGTGGACAAGGGTCCGCACGTCGTCACCGACGATGCCCTCTGCCTGATCGACACCGCCACCGGCCTCCCCAAGGCTTGAGCGCCCTCCACCTCTGTGGCCCCATTTTTGCATTTATTGTCCTACACTACAACTCAAGAAGTATGTTGTTCTGCTCTGCTGTTCTTCATCACCTGCACGGCGTGCAACCACATCAACAGACCACTGTGGTTGCAAGCCTGTACTTGCAACGAGTGGAGTAGTGGGATAGTATACAAAACGTTTTGGTATTGGTGGTGGCTGACAGACAAGCGCACACAAAAGACAAACAAGTCCTCAATGTGAGGCGAAGCTGAAGGAAAAGAGAGAAGAAAGAACGAAGAGACAAGAACGAAGAAAGAACGAAGAGAGATTAGGTGCCGCTGGGCTGCTGCTCGGAGGTCTGGAGGAGGCCGCGCGAGGAACCCGACTTTCGGCCGAGCATCGAGAGGCGGGAGCTCTTCGTGGGCGTGCCCCCGCCAGCACCGAGGGCCGACCCCTTACGCGGTTCTCGCAGCAACGACAACGCGTAACATTGGTCCTGCGCGCGCGTGTGTGCGGTCGTGCGTGTGCGGTCGTGCGTGTGCGACAGGGTGAGTGCGATTGATGGAACGATTGGGGGGGGGACGTGGCGTGTACCAGAGAGAGCATGGGGTGGGTCAGAAGGTAGTTGCGGAGCGCTGGCACGACGGTGAAGGAGTACTTGTGCTTCTGATACGTCTGAATGTTGTTGATCACCACTACATGTACCGCACACACCGCACACACCACCGCACACACCGCACACACCGCACACGCACACACGCTGACGTCAGCAGCGCGCTTAAGATCAGATGTTAAGGGTGTAGGTGGTAAAAAAATACCGAAGAGGAGGTGGCGCTTGGTGAAGTTAATGAGCCCGTCGTGGTAGTCCGGGTTGCCGTCCTCGATGAAGGTGAGATCGGCCAGCGAGGTGCCGATGTAGGGGATCTTGGGCGGCGCTGACGTGGACATGCGGTCCCGCAGCACCGTGAAGTTCTTCTCCGGCACCGTAATCGCCTGCAGCGAGTTGAACAGATTTTGCTGCTGTGTGTCGTGCGTGTGCCGTGCGTGCCGTGCGTGCCGTGCGTGTGCGTGTCGTGCGTGTCGTGTCGTGTCATGGCCGAGTGAGTGTCGAGTGTGGCAAAAAAAAAGGAGCGAGTAGGAGTACTTTGGAGCCGAGGGCTTCCCAGGTCTTGGTGAGGCGCGACACGGAGGTCGACGACAGGCCGGACACGAGGGCCATCAGCGCGTTGAAGTTGTGGATGTGCAGACACTCCTCCGCGACTTGGATCAATTTCTTGAGCATGGCCTTGCGGTCCTCCAGTTCCTCCAGCTGGACCAGCAGCGTCACAAAGAACTGCCCGACCTGCGCAGCACGACACGCACGACACACGACACACACGACACACACGACACACGACACACGACACACGACACACGCACACACGCACACACGGTGTGTTGAGTGAAGGCCACGGGTGACTGGCATGCAGGGCGCACGAGCGAACCTCGTTGAACCGCTCGATGAGGGCGCAGATGCCGGGGGCCTTCTCCTCTTTGCCCTCCTTGTTCCAGCACTGGTTGAGGAATTCCTTCGCCTGAATGCGCTGGAACAGATCGCTGCATCCCACCACACAACACACGCCACACATCGCACACGCCACACGCCACACACACAACACACACACACACACACACACACACACACACACACACACACACACACACACACACACACACACACACACACACGCCACACGCACGCACGCACATCGCACACATGCATTCAGTCTTGTTCGGGCCTTGAGCGCGCGCCAACTGCGGGATCCGTACAATTCGATCAGCGTCAGCTGTCGGGCGATCTCCACGGCGGGCCAGTCCAGCAGGTAATGCAGCTGTGGTCGGTCGTTTGTGTCATGCGTGCGGTGTTGCGCGTGTGCGGTGGTGTGTGCGTGTGCGGTGCGTGAGACTCAAATTGGGCGAGGGGCCATTGTGGGGGGGGGGCAACGTACAGGGCTTTTGTAGTTTTTGGGAAGGAGCGGCTTCGGCGGTGCTTCCTCTCGGCTGTTGGTCGCCTGATCGGCCTCTTCGAACGAACGCAGCGTCTAAACGCGTTTGGCCACCACCACCCAAGTCATTTCACGCACATTCCACGCACATTCCAGACGCCGCACATTCCACACACACACACACACACACACACATTCCAGCGCGGCGGTGCGTACCTCGGCGAGGACCTCCTGTCGCTTCTGGGACGCGCGGATCTCGTCGGTGATGCGGATCTTGTCGAGGCGCGCGGTGAGCCGCTCGACCGCCTTTTCGAGGCTTCGGGCCAGCATCTCGCGGAGGTTCTTCTCCTCCACCATCTCCTGCATGAAGGCCTCGAACCGGTCCCGCAGGTCGATGTCCTCAAAGTCGTGGTCGTGCTTCTCCACCCAATGCTTGAGCGCATTGCACACGCGGGTCCTGTCACAGACTCGGTTGAGACACGACACACACACGACACGACACGCATGACACACATGACACACGACACGACACACGACACGAAGCAAGTGTGTGTGTGTGTGCGGCCAACCTGATGAAGGCCTGCTCGGTTTTGTTGAATTTTTCGATGTCTTCTGGTTTGGCGTTCTTGGGCGGTGGCGCGGCGTATCTGTTTCAATGGCCACAGGCGACGCCACAAGTGGACACTGATGAGTGGAGGGCGCTAAAGCTAAAGGCGCGTGTGCGGCGCGTGCGGCGTGCGGCGTGCGCGTGTGTGCGGCGTGTGCGATTGTGAATGGAGCGTCGGCGCACCGCAGGATCAGCTTTTCGATGAGTATGCGCGGCGTGGTGAACGATCGGTAGGTGATGAAGAACGCCTCGAGACACCGACGGTCTACATGCCAAGCCGGAAGTGGCCCGCGAGTGGTGAATAGGAGTTATTTTTTGTTTAGTTTTTGTTTTGTTTTGTTTTGTTTTGTTTTGTTTTGTTTTATGTTTTTTGTTTTTTGTTTTGTTTGAAATAAATAAAAAAGTGCGGGGTGCGTACCGACGATGGTGGGGTGGGTGATGTACTCCACCAGCTTGATGAGCGAAGCGGCTTTGATGACGCGCGGCGTCTCGGTCTCGTCCCAGGTCAGGTGGCCGGGGCTCTCCTCCCAAAACTCGTAGACATTGCCATAGCGGTCCCCTCGCGGCGTGCCTTCCTATAAATATATTCATTTATATTAGTATATAAAAATATTATTCTTATAGTATATAAGTAGTAAATTAGTATATAATAATTTAAATAAATGGAAAATGGGTGGCGCACGGGAGAGGCGGAGGAGCCGCGCCGGTTGATGGAGGGGAAGGTGCCGCTGCCCTCGGAGGCGAGGAAGCCCAGCTGGGCGCTCGCCACGGTGGCCTTCTTCTTCCAGCGGGCCAGCTCCGATTCGAGAAACGAGACCCGGTCCTCGGCCTGCAGCGCCCGCACCTTCCAGTCCTCGATCCCTCGGCTCTGCGACCGACCATCAGCCCACAATCATGGCACACACACACACGCACACACACGCACCACCGCACACGCACACGCACACAGAGAGTGAGAATGGAGGCGGTACCCCACGCGGGCTCATGCTGAGGCTGGCGTGGATGGAGCCGCTGCCGTCGGTCGTGGCGTTGATCACCTGGAGCGACCCGTCGCTGCCGCTCTTGATCGTGGCCGACACCGACCGCTTGCCCAGGCTCCCTCCTCCGTTCTTTGACGACGACGACGATGACGTGGCATCGTCGGACTTCTTTCGCGACGACGAGCCCTTGGGCTTCTTGCCCGACGGCGACGACGCCGACGACGATGCCGTGGTGGTGGTCGGTATGGAGGGAAAGGCCGGCATGGACTGGTGGGCCGCCGAGCTGCGCGCCGGCGACGAGAGCGCCAGCGGGTGCACCGGGCGCGAGTGCTTGGAGCCCAGGCCGCCGCCGGGCGAGCTGGTGGGCGCGCCGTCGGCCGGCGCTGAGTCGGAGACCGAACGGCGTACCTTGGTGGCGGCGGCGGCCGAGGTGTCGATGCAGTGCTGCAGCGGTGAGGGGTTGGACGGCGATGGCGACGGCGACGAACTGGGCGAGCAGAAGGAGGGCGAGGACTGGCCCGACTCCGACCACCCACCACCTTCGCTTTCGCTGTCGTCGACGAGGTCGTCGATGCCTCCATTGACGGCCGCCAGGCCCTGACTGTCCTCCTCATCCATGTCTCGCCGTGACAGTCCTTTGAACGAAGAACAAATCGAGCGAAGCTTCAAAAATCTGACTAAATGTTTGATGTGGGGTAATGGAACGAATGAATGAATGTTGTTTCTCTTTTTCTCTCCGGCCTGTTATTTGGTGAGGTGAGGGTTGGAGATTATCTGATCTGGTGATGATGAATGATTATTGCTGTTGGATGATTTTGTGGATGAACAGCGAGAGGGAAGGGTTGAAGGGGTGAGAAGGTACCTTGCGAGTTGAAGCTGTTTTGATTTCCAGCTGCTCTCTCTTTCCAGCAGACGGCTCGCGCAGAGAGGTGTTTTAATCAGCTCGCGCTGCGGGCTGCCCCACCGCAACCACCACCTGCGACCTAATTCTTACCACCAACAGGCAGTCATTCATAAAAGTCGCAAATTAATTGGTCGACAAGAAAAGAAAAAGCACTCGAAGGTGAACAACACAACAACAAGAAGACGAACACGAGAAGACTGGTGGTTTGGTGTGTATGAAACAAAAGAGATCGAAAAAGAGCGTGGATGAACAACATCACTACTACTGCAGGAAGTCGAGGCTTAGAGGCCTCCCTCCTCCTCGCCGGAGAGGATCTGCTGGTAGGAGAACGGCTGGAACTTGTAGCCATCACCCATGTAGAACTTGTTCTGGAACTCGACCCTGTTGTAACGAAGAAGATGATGAAGGTGACGAAGAAGAAGACGTTAGTGGTTGAAGGAGTAGGAGAACGAAGAAGGTAGTGGTGGAGGTGGAGGTGGAGGTACCAGTGGAGACGGAGGGCGTGGAGGAAGGCAGAGAGCGACTCCATAACCAAGAGCACACCGAAGGTGGCGCCGGCCCAGATGGCGAAGCCGACGAAGATGAGGAAGAAGTTGTTCTTCTCGAGGGTGAGGACGAGCACGCGCTCCCAGAACACGGTGGCGAGCTCGGAGTGGGCGAGCGACAAGGCCCACAGACGCAGGTACGAGGCGGTGTTGGAGATGGCTCCGAGCACGAACTCGATGGTGTGGATGATCTGGTGGATGAAAATCTCGTTGAAGTCGAACTCCTCTTCCTCCTCATCACCGTCCTCCTCGTGAGACTCGGCAAGGCTGTGATGTGCAAAAGAAAGCGAAGGATTAGCCCCGACAGTTGAGTGCAAGAGAGAAAGAGAGTGGTGATGAGATTCTCGAGCGCATTGTCAGAAATCTCGTGTGAGTAGTTTTTGATCTCCTTTTTGCATCAAGTGGTTGATCGAATCATCACGCATGCGCTTGCGGAGAAGGAGAAGAAAGAAGGTGGAAGAAAGCGAGAGAGAGAGAGAGAGAGAGAGAGAGAGAGAGAGAGAGAAGGGGGTGCGTACCGCTTGTAGCCGCGCTTGTGGTCGCGCCTGAGGAGCAGGGGCTTGGGGAGGAGCATCATGGGGACGGAGATGGCGCAGACGGCGATCAGGACCCACTGGAGGTAGAGCTGGCCGGGGAAGAGATCGTCGATGGGCTGGAGCTTGAAGGGCTTGAGGAACATGCTGATCATGAGGTTGAGCAAGTTGGGGGCGTCCTGGGGCGCCGAGAACTCGTAGCTCCACTTGAAGAAGATGAGGAACACCATGTAGCCGAAGATGGACTGCGTTTGCGCGCGAGCCAAGCGTCAGTAATGGCGGATTGCGGTGTGGAGGGGAGAAGAACATACCATCATGAAGCAAAGCTGGGGCACGAACTCGAACCAGATGTTGTAGGGCTTCTTGAAGTAGATGCCGTTGAGCGCGGAGAGGAGGATACCGAAGACCATGTGGGTGACACCGAAGATGATGGACAGCTTCATCTTGATCGAGTTGTAGTAGAGCAGCTCGTTCTTGGCACCCTTCCACGCGGGATCGACACCGAACGGGTAGGCGATACCGGGGTTGGTCCACTCGGCGAACTGCTCGCCCTCGAAGTACTGCCAGCGCGAGCCGAAGATGTCGAGCGGGACGGAGAAGACTTCGTTGTAGAGAGCACCGCAGTAGATGGCACCGAGGGCCATGAGGAGCAGCAGGTAGCGACCGTCGAAGCAAGTCTTGACCATCTGTTGTCGTGAAAGAGGAGCCCGTCCGAGTTAGTTTGAGGCACTATCGTTCGAGTGAGAGGCGAGTAGTCAAGCGTACCTCGTTGAGCTTCATCTTGGAGAAGGTGTCCTCCTTGATGCACAGGTACACGGCGAAGATGAAGAGCATGATACCGTGGCCGACATCACCGAACATCATACCGAACAGGAAGGGGAAGGTCACGATGGTGAACACACCAGGGTTGACCTCCCTGTAGCGCGCCATACCGTAGGCATCGACGATGCCCTGGAAGGACTTGGTGAACTTATTCGTCTTGAAGTGGGTGGGCGGCTGTTGTTTACGGAGGAAGCGGTGCGGTGCACGTTAGTGAGGAGCTCTTTAGCAAACATCGACAACAGCATGAAACGAGGCGCTTGACATACCTGCTCCCTGGTCTTGACGACGTTGACGATGGAGGGGACGAGGGTGCCGGAGCGCTCGTTGGCGCGCTTGAGGGCGTCCTGGATGTCCTCGGTGGCGGTGAGCGGGCACCAGCCCTCGGCGATGAGGCACTTGCGGCCGACATCGTAGTTGAAGAGGTTCATGTTGTGGTAGATGGACTTCTCCTTGACGACCTGGGTCTTCCAGTCCTCGATGTGGGTGGCGATGTCGAGGAGGACCTTCTTCCTGTGGTCGAGCGACCTCTCGAGCACGACGTCGAGGTCGTCGAGGCGGGTCTCCACCTGGTTGAACATCTCACGCCTCTCCTGCGCGCTGTCGGGGCACGGGTAGAGGTTGGCGCCGAAGGACTCGCAGATCTTCTTGACCTTGGACTCGGCACGGTCACCCTGGAAGAAGATGATGAAGACAAGCTTGTCCACCAACTCGTTCTGTTACGCGTAGTGAAGAGATGAATTTTAGAATCGCATCTTCGTAATTTTCTCGAATGCGGGGCGCAGCGTACGGTCTTGGGATCCTCAATGCGCTCCTCGATGGGGGCAGTCCTCATGAACAAGTTACCGCGGGTGGCGCGCCAGAGCACCCTCTCGAAGGTGACCATCTTGGAACGCTCGACGACACCGGTGACGAAGCCCAGCTTGACGCCGAACGAGGTAAGGCCGGCCACCTCGCTGCTGCCGACGTCGGCCTCCTCGTCGTAGCGGTCCCTCTCGGCACCGCCGGACGACTCGAAGAACACGCTGTCCTTCTCGAGCACGTGCTTGAGCTCAATGAGCTCGTTGTAGTTGCGCTTCAGCTTCTCCTGGTTGCTGTTCATCTGAGTAAGCTCCTTCTCGAGGTCCTCGAAGCGGGCCTACAATCGGAATTTTACAAAAACGTCAGATGCGATCGGAAATAATGGCCTGAGGCGATAATGGGAGGTGGCTATACCTCAAGCTCGTCCATCTCGGGGACGAGAGTCTTCTTCGACGAGCCGATGCTGAGCCCGAGCTGGAGGTGTTCAAGCTCCTCCTCGGCGAAGTTCTGCTTCTCAATCTGGTCCTCGAAGAAGCGGAGCTTGCGCTCCATCTCGTCGCAGCGCTTGACCTCGGCCACGAAGTTACGCTGGATGGCATTTACCTCAGGATTGAGCTGCACATCGCCGGCGAAAATTGAGTCAGCACATGGACGGTTTCGATCGGGCACCCGAAGCATAAAAGGGGTTTCACTGAGTGATAATGTATCTTCCATTAACCGCGTGTGCGATAAAGCGCACAAACGAACAGGGGAATATATTCATTTGCTATCAGCTTCTTCCATTTAATCAGCTTCCACGGGGTAAAGGAAGCCGGTTGGTAATAGAAGCTTGAGAATTATAAGATCTGAAACATAATTATGTAGTGAGGGGCTGAGGTTACTTACATCCTTGAATTGGATGAGACCGATCTCACCGAGCTCGTCCACGGTGTCACGCGCTGCCTCGAGCGACATGAACAGCTGGACGAGCTGCATAGGCTCCGAACGGAAGAGCTCTCCCATTTTCGGATTGAGTTAATAATTAACAGTCCTGCGGGGTTGGGAAGCGTCAGCGATTGTCTTTCTTTTATGTGTCTTCTTCCAGTCTTGGAGGAGGCGCAGCGAAAACTGAACTTACCAACAGCAGCGCCGGCGAGGCGAGGATGACGAAGAGAAGAGGAGAAGGAAGATGCGGCTTCCGCTGCCTTGTTGGACTTTTGCGACTACCTTCCCTCTCCGAAACCGGCGACGACTTCTCCGTCGGCTGCATTTCCCGAATTCCTTCCAAGTCGAAATTTCAGTGCGTGGCGGCAAAATCATTTTTCCCGCCATTTTCGAGGCGCCCATTTTGTGTAATTCAAGATTTGATTGGATTGATAGAGGGAGCCAAGCTCGCTGGCGAATATTATTGAGGCTTCAATTAGAGATGAAGGACCAAGTGCGCATTGTCCTTATAGGCGATGGTTCGTGATGCCTCAATTCTTCGAATTGCAGACAATCAGGCGTTGACTTTGTTCCTTTTCTTCTGCATTTGAACGTTAGATGGTGCTGGCAAAACGTCCCTCATTGCCACGCTGCTCGCCGATTCCTTTCAGGAAGTGGTACGTCACGCTTGCATTATTATTGCTCGATTTTCATTCTTAATTCTGGGCCACTCTTTCTGTGGGATGAAGGTGGAGCAGGTGGTGCCTGAGCTCACCATCCCTCCGTCGGTCACCAATGACCGTGTCTCCACGCATATCATAGACACCTCTTGTACGTGGCGCCCTACGCTCCTTGCCGTTTTACCTACGAGCAAGACGGTGACGCTCTTCTTCTTCTTCTTCTCCTTGTTCGCCTCTTAGCTCGGTTCCAGCATAAGATGGATCAGCAACTGCGCACGGCCGACGTCGTGTGCCTGTGCTACGCCGCCGACTCGGAGAACGTCGCCGAGCGTATCACGCACTGGCTGCGCCACATCAGACACACTCGCCAGGAATGCCGCGCCCCACAGGTAACCCTAAGCAGCCTTCTTCTTGCCTCCACTTCAACACTGAGTGCGCATGTCCTGGTCGTGCCGGTTCGTGCGGGCGCAGGTGCCGGTGATCCTTGTCGGGAACAAGATCGATCTGCGAGGGGAGGATCTTACCAACCCCAAGCTGCAAGAGGACATGGAACCCATCATGGAAGAGTTCAAGGTTCGCTTTATAACTGGAGCGGTGACTCGCGCCCGCGCTTTGTCTCACGCTTCGCCGGGCCTTGCGTGCGACAGGAAGTGGAGACGTGTATAGAGTGCAGCGCCAAGAGCTTTCTGAACGTGCACGAGGTCTTCTACTTTGCTCAGCGAGCAGTGCTCTACCCGACCGCCGTCCTCTACGACGCGGGGTCGCGGAGCCTCCGTGAGGAGTGCGTCGCCGCGCTCAAGCGCATATTCAAGCTCTGCGACAAGGACAGGTCTGTTCACACCACACACACACACACACACACACACCACTCGCACACACACACGACACACACAGCGCGTGCGCTCACCAACGAAGACCACAATTCCATTTGCGAACAGAGACGGAATTCTTTCGGACGATGAGCTCAATGCGTTCCAGGCGCGCTGTTTCGGGGCTTCGCTCGACCCCGCGGAGCTGCAGGGCGTGAAGGACGTCGTGAGGGGCAACGTGGAGAACGGACTGACCGAGAAGGGCCTCACCCTCACCGGCTTCCTCTTCCTGCACCACCTCTTCATCCAGAAGGGCAGACTCGAAACCACATGGACCGGTACACGCTTCGTTCTTCCCCCGCCCTTTGACGGTCTTTTTGACTCTCTCGTTTTCTCTTTTTGGCTCTATTTTTTCTCTCTTTCTCTCTCTTTCGTCGCCACAGTTTTGCGCCAGTTTGGCTACGACGACAATCTGCGCGTAGATGTGGCATCGCTCTGCCACTCGCTTCCCGCCCCGCCCCCGTCTCACGTCTACGAGCTCTCACAGGTAAACTTATACACACGCCGTGTGCGCTCACCCACACTCACACGCGCGCACGCACATCACGGTCGCTTTGTTTCCTCAATCGTTTGGCCATTGCACGAGCAGGCGGGCGTGGCGTTCTTTTCTTCGCTCCACCGGGCGTTTGACAAGGGCGCCGGTCTCGCGCTGGACGATCTCGACGACCTGTTCTCCACGGCTGCGCCGGGCCTCCCCGCCCTGTGGACCTCGGGCGAGTTGGACCCCGCGACCGCGACGCAGCTGAACGCCGCCCACATCTCCCTTCGCGGCTGGCTCGCTCTGTGGAGGTACTCACACCGCGTGAGCCCACTTCTTTCTTTTCTCACAGCTATGCGTTGCTGACGTGGCGCAATCCGACTCGCCAGCTATACGACGGTGCATGACCACAAGACGACGCTCGAGTATCTCGCGTGGCTCGGGTTCGAATCCGACCCTCAGCTCGCGCTCGCGCTCAAGCCGCGTCGGGAGGCCTCCGCGCTGCTGTGCCTCGTGGTGGGCAGCCCGGCGCTGACCGACGCCTTCCTGGGCGACTTCCTCGGCAAGCGCGATCACGAGCCGTCGCATGCCACGTCCACCTCCATCACCACCACCACCCGGTCCCCGTCTTCGCGCCTGGTGGCACTCGGCTCCCTTCCCGACATCAGCGGAACAGAGAAATACGTCGCCGTACGCCTCTTCTCTTTCAGCCGTGTGTCGCGTGTGTCGTGCGATTCGCTAGCGCACCGGTAACCGTCGGGTTGTGTCTGCAGATGCGGAAGTATGGCCTCGAAGAGACGGAGGCGCTGAGGACGCGCCTGCATGAGGCGTCGCTGGTCATCGTCCTCTACGACTCCTCCGATTCGCGAAGTCTCAGCAACACAGCGCACGCGGGCGCGGAGCTCAACAGCCTCTGCCGGAACCGAGACACGCCCATTCTTCACCTGGCTCTCCACCACACGGTGCCACATCCATACCCCTCTCCCGCCTCACGTCGTGTGTCGTGTGTCGCGTGTCGCGTGTCGTGTGTCGTGTGTGTGCCACGTGCGGATGTGTGCTCACATGCAGGCTACGCTGATGTTACAACAGGACGGGGCCACAGTGCCGGACCTGAGCGAAAACGGAATCCACTTGGAGGCATTTGCCAGCTATTCGACCCTTCTCATCAAAGCCCACCAGCTGTACGCCCTGCCCTTGTGGCGCCGTGGTGCTGTTTGTTTGCTGTTTGTTGGTTGTTTGGTTCAATGGTGGCTGATGTGTGTGTGGTCGGGCGCAGGGCGCGGAGAGAGCAGGAGTGGCAGTGGCTGCCGACGTGGCCGCAGGCAGCCCTCTTGGGCGCCGTGGCGGTGCTGGTGGGTGGCATCCTGCTCTACAGACACTTCAAGGGCAGCAAACAAGCCTAGAAAAACGAAAAATGAAGAGCCCTCCGCCACGATCATTACTAATTATAACTCTGTTTGCGCCCAACCATGAACACGAGCGTCCAACGGTGGCATACGGCGGCGGCAGCAGGGCCTCTCAAAAATCGGTGATGTCGTCCTGCGCGTCACGCGCGAAGAAGAAACGCGTGAGAACGCCGCACCCCCCCCCCACACGACACACACACACGACACACACGACACGACACACACGCACGACACACAAAGCACTGTGAATGGCCCCATTGTGTACGTACCTCCATGAGAACGGGGTCGATAGGCGAAGAAGGCGCCGACGGCGGCGTCGATTGGTGCCGATGTCCCCATGCTCGTGGAGGCGGTGGTCGCAGCGAGCCGCCACTGCCCACCCGTCCGCCACCAGCCGTGGCTCCTCCCGACTGTGGCGGTGGTGCGCGGGCGCCTTGCGTCGGTCGACTCAGTGGCGGCTGCGATGGTCGCTTCTGGCCTCCTTCCGCCTGCACCGCGTTGCCCTCGTCCGCCGCCTCTTTCGCTGGCGGCTTCTCACTGCCGTCCTCCTGCGACGGCGCGTCATACACATCAGCGTATTGCCGTGTGTGTGTGTGGCGTGTTTGTGTGTCGTGTGTGTCGTGTGTGTGTATGTGTGTGGCGTGTGTGTGTGGCGTGTGTGTGTACCTCGTGCTCTGCGGCGTGGTCGGCGTCCGGGAAGTCGCCCTCGAGCGCGGGAAGCTCGGCCACTTCGTCCTCCCGCAGCGCCTGCGGCGGAGCCAGACTGGCGCGCGAGTACGAACAGAACTCCGACAGCCACGCGAAACCACCCGGGTCTGTCTCCGGCACGACACAACACGACACGACACGCGCGGCCGCACACGCCGCACAGCACAGGTAAGAATGGGGTCGGTCGGTCCGGAGGGGGGGAGAGTTGAGAGGGAGGCGTGCATGGGGCGGTGAGCAGAGGCCGAAGGGTCGGGCGCAGAAAGGCGATGCGGTGGGTGTAGGGGAACACCTCGGTGACCAACAGGGCGGGCCGGGCCGCGAGTGCTGCGAGCGCGCCGCCGCCGCCCGCGCTGCACACCTCGCGCACCGCACGCGCGGTGCTGCTCTGCCCGGCCGTCGCAGCGTAGAGTCGCGGCTTGAACAGGGGCCGGTAGCCGTGCGAGCCGCCCGGCGCGAGCGAGTTGCGCGACGCGTACATGAGCCCGCGGGACCACAGCGCTCCCGCCATCGGCGACGTGTCCTCGCGTGCCTGCCATGCCACGTCGTCAACACCGCACACGCACACGCACCACCGCACACGCACACGCACCACCGCACACGCGGAAGAATGAAGGGTACCTCCCACGCGGCCTGGAGGGTGTCGGCGTCTGAGAGGTATTCGAGCGCGGCGGAGGCGGCGTCGATGTCGTCGGCCATGAAGCCCGGGTAGTTTTCGTGCACGAACTCGGTGAAGCGCGCCGGCTCGACGCCCGCCTGCTCGATCACCTGCTCCACCTCATTCTCCGGCAGCCCATCATCGCCCCGCTTGTTATGGAGCACCTGCATGTGCGTGTGCGTGCGTGTGCGATGTTGTTAATGTGCGGCGATGTCGTGTGTGTGTGTGTGTCGTGTGTGTGTCATTACCTTGCCGAGAGCGTGAAACAGGGACAGCGGTACGTCGCGCTGGGTCGAGTCGGCGGCCTGGTCACTACAGATCACGTCAGCTCCGCCGCGCGCACTGTGGTGGTTGGTGGGTGGTTGGTGGGGGGGGGGAGAAGCGCACGTGAGGGTCCCGCCGGGTCCGGAGAGGAGCTGGAGGGCGTTAATGGCCGACCGCAGGTCGCCGCCGCAGACCTTGGCCAGCGTGTTGACGCCCGTGGCCTTCCCGCGCGCCGCCTTCCCGGCGCCCTTCCACCCCTCGAGGCCCGCTATCTTCGCCAGCACCTTGGCCGCCCGCGTCGGCGCCACTCCCGCAATTCTGCACCATTTGTCGTGTGTCGTGTCGTGTCGTTGGTCGTGTGCGGTGGTGTGTGTGCGTGTGCGGTGGTGTGTGTGCGTGTGCGTGTGACGTGGAATGAGCGGAGGCGAGTGGCGGGCGTACTTGATCTGACGGAAGGCCGGGTGGGACATGATCTCCTGGGGCAGGAGGCGGAAGAGCGGCGAATTGCCCAGCGAGTCGTCGCTGATGATCAGCACCAGCGGGAAGCGAGGGCCCGGCGTACGCAGGTGGTGCAGCAGCAGGTCCTGCATTCAGTCACAACATTCCTCGAATACGTCAGAACCGCACACGCACGACACACATCGCCGCACACGCACGACACACACCGCCGCACACGCACGACACAGACGTGGATTGGGGGGGGGAGGCGCACCTGGAACGTGCGTAGGGCGGGGAGGTGGCCGAGGAAGGGCAGATCTTCGATCAAGATGAGGCGCTTGGCTTGGTTGCCGCTCAGGTCGCTGTCGGCGGTGGGCGCGTTGGTGCCGGTGGTGGTGGTGACGAGGGACGGATAGCGCTCCGTGCGCTGCAGGAACGCACGGAACTCCTGAATGGGCGCCGTGTACGGAAGCGCCAGCTTGCCTGCGCGTTGCGGTGAGCGCCAAGCAACGACCCCAAACGACCCCAAACGACACGACACGACACGACACGACACACAGTGCACACGCGCGATGAGGGGAAGTGGAATGTACGGTCAGAGTCGGTCCAGGGACAGGTGGCCGGGTTGATCCATTCGGTGATGCCCACGTTCAACTGCCGAGCGACGACCTTGATCAGGGCCTAGACGAAGAGTTGTTTTCAGCGATTCACACGTACGCTTCGTGGCCGCACGACACACACGACACGACACGCACGACACGACACGCACGGCGCGAAGAGAGCGACACCGATTGGAGGGGGGGGGGGCAATCAGCGAACCGTTTTGCCGCCGCCGGATGGGCCGGTGAGGCACAGGATGCGGCCGCCCCTGCCCGCCAGCGCGTGTTTGAGCCAATCGCGCACCTCGGCCACCCGTTTCGGATACACCGCCAGGTCGTCCTCGCTCTGGTGATCAATTCCAAACCATCAGAAGACTCTCAACACACACGACACACGCGACGCACACACACGACACACACAGCCACACGCGCGCGCGACACACTGACGAACGTTACCGTGGGATCGTATTTGTCGGACCACAGACGGCCGCCCTCGGTGGCAGCGCCCGGTGACAGCTTGGCGGTTTTGGCACGCCGCTTCGATGATGAAGAAGACGATGACGATGATGAAGATGAAGATGAGGACATGACGGCATAGGGCCGCTTGTGCGAGCCCGCCTTGGCAGAGGTCGTCGACGACGACGACGAGGTGGTGGTGGTGGTAGGGGCAGCGGCCGCGCGGGTGTACTGAGTGAACTTGCCCGCGGCTCGCTTGGGGGAGAGCCACATGCTTTTGCTGCCGCCGCTGTTTGCCGACGACGGCGTTGTCGTGGTCGGCGAGGGCTTGGCAAAGTCGTCGTCGTCATCGTCTTCCGCTTCGTCGTCGTCGTCCGTGTCGATCTCGATCTCCACCTTGGCCGCCACCGCAGGCTTCCGAGTACTTCGAGACGACGAAGCGGACGTGGCAGAAGTGCGACTCTTGGCGGCGGCGGCGGCTGTGGAAGAAGACGATGTCTTCGACGAAGTGGGCTTGGCGGCTCGAGATGAAGAATGAGAAGTCGAAGAGGAAGAAGAGGCGGCCGTTTTGCTTCGGGCTGATGACGAAGAAGACGTTGTCTGTGAAGAAGAAGAAGAAGCGGCTGTGCGCAAGGATTGAGCGGAGGATCGGAGGGAAATCGAAGAAGTCGAAGACGTCGACTTGGCTGGCTTGGCCGATGAAGGAGGCCGAGCGGCCTTTGTCGATGAGGAGGAGGGTGGTGATGATGATGATGAAGTAGTGGTGGTGGTGGTGGAAGAAGAAGAAGAAGTAAGCGAAGACAGGGGTCGTCCCTTGCCGTTGTGTGATGGCAGATAGAACTCGAATATGTCCTTCTCCTCGCCCTCTTCTTCTCCTTCGGCTTCATCGTCGTCCTACACGCACCACAATGTCAGGCCACACGACACGACACGACACGACACGACACTCACGGCACCGCACAACTCACGACACGACACACAAGACACACACAACCGCACACACGCACAGGAAGACCGACGCACCGAAAGGATGCGGCGTCGTGCAGACGGCGCCTTGGCCGTCGTCACCTTCTTCGCGCGCGGCTGCTCCTCCTCTTCTTCCAGATCCTCTTCGCCCTCATCGTCGTCGTCGTCTTCTTCGCTCTCTTCTTCTTCATTCTTTTCCTCCACTTGCCACCGCCTTCGCGCACTGTTCGACACTGAGCTCGAGCGCGACGACGACGACGACGTTGTCGAGCGGGCGGCGGCGGCGGTCTCTCCTCGTGCAGCCCTGGCGTTCGGCGGTGACGTGGCCGCGGCCTTGCTCACTGAGCGGCGCCCCGGTGCAGTGCTGGAGGTGCCGGCCCTGGCGGCAGCAGCAGCGGGCCGCCGCGTGCGGTGGTCGAGGCCGATGTCGATGGCGTCGTCGCCGCTGTCGGTCCCGAGGAAGTCGTCGTCATCTTGAAACTGAATCTGCACGCGCTCGGTGTTGGCACCGGCCGTGGGTGTCGGCCGCTTGGTCGAGGTGGAAGAAGAGGAGGAAGAACCGGGCTTGACGTTAAAGCGCGACGAGGGCAAGCGCCGCATTGATGTGGTTGAGGCCTTCGCAGTAGAAGCAGAAGATGACGCGGAAGAAGAGGATCGCATAGAAGAGGAAGTAGAGGAATCCTGATGTCGTGCAGATTTTGCCTCTGATGAAGATGCTGATGCTGATGGCTTGTGGCGTGTAGAGGCGGATGGCTGCGGCGCAGCAATTAGTTTGCCATTTGATTCTGGTCGTCGAGCTGTCGCACTGTCGTCGCCGCTGGACGTCTCCTCGCCCTCATCCTCATCGCTTCTTGATTTCTTTTCCTCTTGATTTATGGTCAGGCCATTCGAATGAGACGTCCCGCGTTTAATTCGCGTTAATTGTTTCCTCTGGGGTGCCTCTTCCGCGGTAGGCTTCTTCGCTGACGGTGCTGTGCTGCCCATCTGCTCGATGACGAGGAAGTTGAGGATGTCGTCATCGTCCACTTCCTCCTCGCCCTCCTTCATCTTGGCCCAATGTGTCGATTTGTGAATTATTGACATGCAATTTTTTTGTTCTGTATTTTCCTAGAATCAAAAATGAAAAACAAACATCCTGTTTTTCTTGCGCAGCAATGGAGGACACCATTTTCGTTTCGATCCCAAGCTACAGGGATCCAGGTACAGCGTCACTTGATGTCCTCCTTGCACTGTCAATTATTCTATTTATCCCAATTATTCAATTTAATTCAATTTAATTCAATTCAAATTTGCAGAGCTGGTGCACACGGTCCGAGATCTCTTGAGCAAGGCGCACCACCCCGAGCTCGTGTACGTGGGCATATGTTGGCAGTGGCGGCCTGATGAAGACCAGCCCTACGTCGAAGAATTCGATCGATTTCTCCATGAGTGCGAAGATGAAGCCGAGGCCGTCGCGTCGTCCACCACCACCACAAGCACCACGACAAACACGGCACACCCGCGAGTGCCAGCCAGGCAGAGGGTGCGCATTGCCTGGGTTGACTGGCGCGAGGCGCGCGGGCCGTGCCACGCTCGTCGGGTGGCCCAGGCTCTCTACGCCGACCAGCGCTACCACCTCGCCCTGGACTCGCACATGCGCTTCATCCCCGGGTAACCGCGTTTGCGTGTGTGCCATGCGTGTGTGCGTGTGCGGTGATGCGAATGCCCATCTGTTGATGTGCGTGCGTGTGGTGTGCATGTGGTGTGCATGTGCGATGTGCGCCACCAGGTGGGATTCGGTGCTGGTCGGCCTGCTCGCGCGCTGTCCCTCGCCCAAGCCCCTGTTGACGGCCTACCCGGCGCCCTACCTCCGCCCAAACAGCGTCACCACCGACCCGCGCCCGCCCTTCCTGTGCGCCCGCGAGTTCGGGGCCGACGACGGCATGCTCCGCACCTGCGGCAAGCTCCTCCACCTGCCCCTGCCGGCCACCACTGCGGCCACTGCCGCACCGACGTCCGGCGCACAACAGGGCCAGAGCCAGGCGCGAGCGCAGGGCAAGCCAGGCGTCGGGCCGCTGCCCTCACTGTTCTGGGCCTCGGGCTTCAGCTTCTCGCGAGCC